TCCCTCTCAACCCGCTGCTTTATAGATAGGTAAAATTTTTTATATAGACAAAGATGGAGAGAGAATGCTTTTAATGTGGCATCAATTTGAGTGTGACTTCATCTCTTGCAATTAAACGTATGTCCATCTGGTTAAAAACAACTGTCTTAGCATCACTTCCAAATTTTTGACCATGGCTTCCAAATTTTTTTGACCATGACTGTGTCCCTTGTCCATTATACATGTAAACCTGTGTACAGGTTATATATATAAATACATATGTATCAAAAGTTAGGAAAAGGCTGGGACCCTGATTTTTTTCTGTGCTGTATGGGCTCTTGGCCCATTTTGGAAGCTGGAGAGCTAGAGCATCAGCTGGGAAATGCTCACTGGCAGGCTGAATGTTTCAGGGTCCTGGAGTGGGACTGGAATGTCTGGACGTCTCTCTGGCCCTTGGTACAATGAAGTTGACTAGATCAGTATTTTTCAATCTCTAGGTTGCGGCCCATCAGTGGGTCATGAAATCAGCTTAAAAGGTACTGGCCAGTATTTTTTTTTTAAGAAAAGAAATAGAATACAAAACAATAGAATTGAAAATATCGGAGTGCCTTACACTGTAGCCAGGCAGGGTAAGCATTGGTCTGAGAAAGTTTTAATATGTATGTATATTGTTAAATGACAAAACTAAAACAACTTAGTAATGAGTTTGCTGCCCTTCATTCAAGGGAAAACCAACATGGATGGAGCAGTACAGTGCCTGCCAAGCAGGGGATCACAGGTCTTCAGGGATTTGGGGCCAGAGGAAGTTTTATGGGATACTGTAAGCAGCAGCATAGAAACTGGCCATGAATGGCTAGAAGGTTGGGGATTTCCTTTAAAGCTGGCAGGTCATGTTTTCTAGGGCACAGTGCACCAGCTTAAGCTGAGTCACAGGATTGTGACTAGTGTAGGTTGGGTTTTCTAGACAATGAGGTGTTTGCCTACATGTGGGCTGACTTGGGTTCAGATTTGTGATGTGGGCCAGGTCACTGGGGTGGCCTCCCCAATATATAGAATTTCCTTTACAGTATGTGTGATAAATGTACATCTTTACATTTACATATGTAATGGGTCATGGAACATAGTCAACAGAATTTGGAAGTCATCCAGAAAAGGTAATATCTAAGACCCCTTCCAATTTTGCAATTTGGTGATGGTAAGATGACAGTTTTTAATCAAGGGCATTTTGCTCTCCAAGGGAGATTTGGCAATGTTGAGACATTTTTGATTGTCATTAACTTTGGGGGATGGTTGTGTGCTATTGACATCTACTGAGGAAAGGCCAGGGATGCTGCTAAACTTCCTTCAATGCCCAGGACACCCCCTACAGTAGAATTATCTGCCCTAAGTGTCAATAGTGTAGAGATAGAGAAACCCTGTTTTAAAGAGTATGTATGGATAGAATCACTTATCAGTAGTGACCTTATTACTACTTGCTGGCATTTTTTGAGCACTTACTATAAGCAGACACTCTTCTTCATGTTTATATTAATGGGCTCTTTTAATACCCACAACATGTGGGGAAAAAATTACATTCTTATCCCCACTTGCAGGTGGGGTAAGAGTGGTAAGATTAAGGATTTGTAGAACTGGGATTCAAATAGAGGAATTCTGGTTTCAGATTCCTCCCTTCTTAGAGAAAATGCGCATTAAAACCAGAAATAAGCTACCACTGCATACCTATTAGAAATGCTAAAATTAAAAAGACTCATCATACCAAGTGCTGGCAAGGATGAGGAAAAACTAGAAGGCTCCCAAAATATTGGTGGGGATGTAAAATGGGGCAGCCACTTTGGAAAACAGTTGGCAGTTTCTTATAAAGTTAAATATACATGACAGTAGGCAAAATAATGCCCTCCCCTGCCCCCACCACAGATATCCATGTGCTAATCCCTGGAAGCTGGAAATATGTTACATTACAGAGGGAAAGGGATTTTGCAGATGTGATCAAATTAAGGATCGTGAGATGAGGGAGATTATACTGGATTATCTGTGTGCCCCAAGATAATTACAAGAGTCCTCATGACAGGGTCAGAGAGAGATTTAAAGATGTTGCAATACTGGCTTTGAGGAGGAGGAAGGGGCCATGAGTCAAGAAATGTGGCTTCAAGCAGGTGGCTTCTAGAAGCTGGCAAAGGCAAGAAAATGAAATCTTCCCAGGGCCTCCAGGAGGCCTGCCGACACTTTGATTTTAGTCCAGTAAAATGCATTACAGACTTGAGACCTCCAGAACATCAGATAATAACTTTGGGTTGTTTTAAACCATGAAGTTTGCAGTAATCTGTTACATAAGCCATAACAACTCATATATCAACATATGATCCAGCCATTCCATTTCTAGTTATTTACCCAAGAGGAAAGAAAACTTGTACATTTGTACATAAATGTTTTTAAGTCTTTTAAAATCCATTAGTTGCCCCACCTGATTTCTGTCATTTACAACAAACATCTTTTGAACGCCTACTACACCCCTGATCCTGCTTGTTAGAGATATATAGCAAATAACATTTATTTATCTTTCTTTATTGAGTGTTTGATGCAGCTTTCAGGAGTGTGTGCACTAGCTCCTACTTTAAACAAGCTGTGTTCTTCCACACGGTCCTTGCTTGATTGTGTGGAAGTCCCTCATACAGGACTCTAATCAGAAGTGTACTCGGAACCCCAGTGTAGTCTGCAAAGGGCAGCTCAGGATAGTCGTGTAGTGAATATCTGGGCTTGTTTATGTTTGTTTTTTTTGCCTTCCCAGGATCCTCCAACTTCTTGGGCAAAGACTCCCCAGTTTTCATATGTGCACCATCTTCCCTCACTTTCTAGCTCACGTGACTTTGCTATGGCTGTGACTGATCTCGCTCTGTGGCACAGGACATCCACTTATCCTGGGTTTGGCTAGAACTCCATCGGTCTGGCCAGAGGGGCTGTTCAGCACGAGCACTTGGCCCAAGTCATTGCGGGTCATGCTGGAAATGCCTTGACTGTCAAATCCCTCATCAACAGGTTTCTGGGTGAACACAGAATCAGAGTAAAGGCAACTAATTTGGTTACCTTCAAGGATGTTGGCTCATGCTGGGGGAACTATTGGCTGGGAATTATTCTTGAGGGACCTGGATGATGTGTTTCTCACTTGGGGATATTTTTGGACACACAGGGAAAAAGTCTGGTGATGATAGTGACTTCTCCATTCATCCATCTGATCAGTGTATAGACACGTCAGCCTCAATGTATCAGCTGGCTGGGCTGCTGGCAACAATTTAGGGTTGACTTTCAGCTCTCTGTAGGTCCCCTGCTTAGCTTTCCAACCTCTTTGAGTCTGACCCTGCTTTACCTATTCAACTGCTTCTGTCATCCCTTCTTTCCCCTTCAATGGAGATCTCTCTGCCTTACCAAATCCCAACCACTGTTCAAGCCCTGTTTAGCTTTTCCTTCACCGCTAAGAAATTGCCGACTCTTCCACCTCCAGGGGCTTCTCCAGTCTTCTAACTGGATTGCAATTAAAGACACAATTGCAGCAAACACTTCTTTCTGACTGCTTCCTGTATGCTACCCTAGCCTTTCTAACCACATCTGAGGAACTTTGAAGTCTGATACACCTCTTGTTTATATAGAGAGCCTGGCAGTCCTTTGATAAATATTTACTGTGTACTGATGTTTCCAGATAAACAAGGTCCTTGTCTGTTCATGGAGGTTGCAATGTAGTGACTGTGAAAAGATAATAAACAAGCAAAGAAATAAGAATATATTACAGAATGATGAAAATCAAACAAGATAATGGGATAGTGACTGTGATATTATGATTTATAATAAATGTATATTTGGTCTTTGTCCCATTTCTGGATCAGAGCTCCAAAAACCTTTGAAATTTCCTAAGTGATGAGAGCAACAGAGGTCTTTTGTTATGTTGAGCTGACTTTTAGAAAGCATGTAGTGATGGGGGCTGATTGCCAGGGGACCCAATCATGTGATCAAAGGGTTGGAACTTTCAGTCCCTTCCCTGTGACCTCTGCAGTTGGAAGAGAAGCTGGAGGTTGAATCAATTACCAATGGCCAATGAATTAATCAATCATGCATATGTCACGAAGCCTCATAAAAACCCAGAAGGTCAACACATAGAGATCTGGGGAGGGCAGTGCACTCTGAGAGGGCATGGAAGCTCTGTGCCATTTCTCCATACCTCAACCCATGTTTCTCTTCACCTGGCTATTGATTTGTGTTCTGTAATATTCTTCATAATAAACCAGCCATCTAGGGAGTGAACAGATTTCCTGAGTTCTATGAGCCACTCTAGCAAATTAGTTGAACCTGGGGTGGAGGTGGGGGTCATGGGGAACCTCTGATTTACAGCCAGTAGGTCAGAAGCGCAGGTGACCACTTGGGCTTGTGATTAGCAGGTGGAGTGGGTGGGGGCAGTCTTATGGGACTGAATCCCTAAACTGGGGGATCTGATGCTCTCTCCAGTAGGTATTCTTAGACTTGAGTCGAATTCCAGAACACCTAGCTGGTGTCAGAGCCTTGCTTGATGATGTGGAGGGAGAACCCAGCCTCCCACATACATGTTGGAGTTGTGTTCAGAACCTAAAAGAATGAGCAATGGAGATGACACTAATTAGGTTGCAAAACAGGCTCATTTGAAAAGGTGGCATTCAAGTGGATGCTTGATTAATGGATTGAATTCTCTTTCTTTTTGGTTTTAGCTTGGTGGTTTGTGATAAGGACATTGGCCAACAGAATTTCTAACTTCCTTCCTTCCTGTTCTTTTGCTAAATTCCTTCCAAATAGTCTGTAATGATCCAACAGAGTATGGTAGACAGGATTCCTGAATTCTGGTGTTCACACCCTTGTACAATCCTTACCCTTTAAATGTTGGCTGGACTTACTGACTTACTTCTAACAAATAGAATTTGGCAAAAGGGATGGCCTACCCACTTCCAAGTTTAGGTTATACAATGCCTGCGGCTTCTATCTTGACTTCTCTCTCTTTCTCTTAGGTCATTTATGCAGTGAAGCCAGCTTCCATCTCATGAGGCAGGTCTATGCAGAGACCCACATGAAGAGGACTGAGGGCTGTCAGCTGCCCAAAGCCACCTAAATGGATTTGGACAAGGATCTGCTCAAGATGAAATGGCAGCCCTGACCGACAGCTTCCCTGACAGTGCATGAGTGACCTTGAGCTAAGGGTGCATCCAGGTTCATCCAGGTTCCTGAGCACCAGAAACTATGAGGTAATTAACATTTCTTGCTTTAATCCACTAAGTTTTAGGTGATTTTGTTCTGCAGCGATAGATATCAAATAGAGCCACATTGGTATGATTGTCTACGGGTCGGTGTGAATTTGCCTCTCTTTACTGGTGAGTGGGGCAGATACCATTGTATCTAGGCACATATTCTTTATTAGACTAAATAGCCAACTCCCATTATGGCCTTTCAGGCCTTTTCACACTGGATTATAATTGTTAGTGGATTATTTATATCATAGAATGTAAACTCCACAAGGAAACTTGAATATTTCATTCCTTTTCCTTACCTCAGTTCCTTGCATATCACCATCATAATATGCATGTATAAAGCATTTACTAAACTGCTTTACTTTCATTAACTTCATCGTTATAACCCCCTGCAGAAGGTAGTATTATATCATCATTTTGCAGATGAAAAACAGAAACAGAAAAGAATGTGCTTAAAGTAGTGCAGCATGTAAGTGGAGGAACCAGGATTTGAATCCAGGCAGTCTGGCTTCAGAGTTCTTATTAAATATTTGGGTTTCAGTAAGGGAATGGAATTGATGTGTGCCTTCTCATTACTCTCCCTGGGAGCTGGGAAGCTCTCTGCTACTCTAACTTTTCACTCGTGTTTTTATAGCCCCTTGAAGGGTATTTGTTGTCCACATCTTACAGCCTAATTTTATTGGACCATTTATGCATATTCTAGAAGCATCTTATTCCCTTTCTACCTCCCCATAATCTGCTAAGCCCTTCACAGAAGGCTAGGCTTTCTTCTATCTTTTGGAGTCATTTGTGTTTTAAGATAACACCCTTCGTTAGGCATGTGAGCATGTGAGTTGCAAGCAAAGCTTCTCAAAGGCAAATTTTTGAACAATCATCAGTTTAGGGAATCATGTAACCATCAACTTCTCTTTAAAAATATCTGAAAGTCTCACAGCAAAATCTTTAAGCTCATCATTTGACCTGAGAATCTTCAGGGGCCTCTCTGACTCTGGGTCACCATACTGAGACATTTCACATCACAGACTCACATCACTTTGTCTGGCTGCTGAGGTCCAGACTTCTTCAGAATAGATAGTGTGTCTTCCTTCCAGTTTATGATTGTGCCATGAAAAAAAATGATTGCATTTATTTTTTAAAAATGTTGGCACTTATTTTTCCCTCCAATGGCTTAATTTGGGTTGTGATGTAAAAGAGAAATGTGGAACAAAACTTTGAATAAAAAAAATTTGACTCACTCTCCCTAATGTCACCCAGGCTTGGTTTGGCCTTGATGAATTCAGCACTTTAAAGGGTATGTCAACACAATAAATTTTATGCCCTCAATAAAACTTGTGAGTGAGCTCAGTGAGAAATTCCAAGGTCTGGGGAGGCAATTAACGTTTGAAATATATATTGAGTTGTTTACTGCGACATTTTATGTGGCCACAGAGCTGTATCCAGTATGTGACGAGGGAAAAATCTCCCTAGGAAATAGCAAGGTTTGCTGTTCAAATAACATTGACATGTCAGATTGTTCTTGAATATAGAGGAATGTAAAAACCGGCTACCAATGAAAATCCAATTCTTTAACCACATCATGCCATTCTCCTTGTTTTCCTCTCCAACTGGCAAGAATCTCAGCAACACTGGAGATGTCAACATCTCAGCAGTTTAATTTCACTGGACCACTTATATCACTTGTCCTACATGTACAGGGGTGTTTACTTATTTGATTTGACCTGAGTTCAAGTCCCAGTCCTGACATCTTAGTCAATGTGTGACCTTATATGAGTCAGATTATCTCTGTGGACTTCATTTTCTATTGTGAGGATTAAATGAAACGTATTATAAAAACACTCTGTTAATGTGATTTACAATTTAGAAAATCACTCTTACTCCTTTGTGCAACACTCACAAGCTCTTTCTGAGGATGATGCTAATAACATAGAGTGTGGGAAGATCCCCAAATATAAGGTATGTGTATTAGTCAGTTATTGTTGCATCAGTGCTGCATGACAAACAACCTCAGAATTTCATCGTTTTCCAACAATATTTACTAATTATGTATCTTATTATATAAATTTACCTGTTTTTTTTTTTTTTTTGTTTTTTGTTCACTGGTCTGTGGGTTGGCTGGGATAGCAATGCTTCAGTAGGATACAAATTGAATTTAGGTTTATTCTATGAATACTGCCTTAGACTTGGACAATGGCAGCATTTCAAGGGGGATAAGAAACACAAATGCCTGCTAAATCCTAGGCTCTAAACCCATACATTGTCACATTTGCTCACATTCCACTGGTCAAAGCCAGTCATGTTACTGGGCCCCACATCAATGGGTCTGGGAAGTATACTATATTGACAGTAATCCATAGCAAGAAAGAAGTGAGACTTGGGGAAAAATAATACCACCTACCATACAATATTTGTATAAGTAAAAAGAAGGAAAGAATCTGAGGTCATTATGTAAACAAAAGACATCTAAGAAATAAATAGTTTTCTCTCTTTTATATTTAAACTTCAGATAATTTTAATTGATCTTCTACAAGCCAAATAAGAATTGAGTTCTTTCTCTTCCTTGTATTTGATGAAATCATAGATTCCTGTTCTAGCAATGACTCATTTTTCTTTTCAGAAAGTCATAGACTTATTGTTCAGGGTCTCTGAAAACTCTTTGGCTTACTGTGAAATGTCTATTTTATCAGCTCATTTTTAAATATCAGTGACTAGTTAAGATAGTAAAAGAGTTAAGTATTTACTCATCTCTTCAAATCAGGTGTGCATGAGACCAGGCATCAGGAAGAAACCTAGGGTTCCAGTCCCAGCTCTGCCACTAAATTTGGATAAATCAGTGATATTCTCTGGGGATAATCTATGAGGAAAGAAGCTGGGAAAGCTTGAGGGCAAATCATTTAATGATGCTAACTATTCTCAGTAATTTCTCAGCACAGAAGTCATTGTCTAAATAAGCATTCCTTTGCAACTGCAGTCTAGCCATTTTGCCCAAAAGTTGGCAGATGTGAGTTGCCCCAGGGCATGAACATCTTAAGGAAGATATTTTAAATGTAGTGTTTAAAAAATCTATAACAATTATGCAGGGTTTTTTAAAGTTCATAGAACAATTTCACTGCTTTTTGCTCATTAAATACTTGTTTTTCTCATTGTTGAGCCAGTAACTTCACTTCTAAGGAAATAATCAGAGATGAGGAAAGAGGTTTATGTGCAAAAATGTTCACTATGGCACTTTGAAAAACTTAAAGTGAAAAATTTGATAGAACCTAAATGTCCAATAAAAAGGGACTGATTAGGTAAATTATTATAAATCTACCTAATGGACCATAATGCAGATGTTAATATAATGTTTTAAACAATTTAAATGACTTAGGAACATTCTCATAATATAGTATTTGATAAGATACATAAGAAAACAGCAATATTATATAACCATTAATTTTTTTAAAATGCACATAAGAATATAAGGAAATTCAGAAAAATGTAAATAGTGGTTAACACAAGATTGTGATAATATTACTGCTTTACATTCCCTTTATATTTTTTCTACATTTTATGGTTTTGACAACAAACATTACATTTTATTTTTTATTTTTATTAAAACAATACATGTACATAGTTTAAAATTTTTTTAATCTTTAAAAGCCTATAGTGAAATAGTCTAGCTCTCTAGAAATAACTATGCATTCTTTTACAGCTACTTCTTTGCATATTTCCTTCCATATGTCTATATATTATGCTTGTACCTCTGCTGCTGGAATCACAAGTTTCAGAAATTCCCTTTTGGCTTCTAGTTATGATGGTTGATAGTTCAACTCTCTGAAATCAACTTCCTCATTTTTTCTTCCATTCTTCATTTTCTCAATTTGCTATGTTTCATAATACTTAGTTAAATCAATAATCATCTTTACATTATGATGACTATGTGAATATTGTTCATGGCTGAACTGTATTTAGTCTCCTCCATTTGTATTTCTTTTGTTCTGAATTCCCCAATTGCTCTGTCAATACCAGTCAACAATTTTCCAAATATACAGACATAGTCCCAAACATACTATAGGTTTTATCCTTTTTCCCTGATGACAGCTTCCTGACCACTCTTATTGGATGGTTTACTCTTTAAGTCTGTAGCTCAATATTGTTCCAGGACTCAATATTGTTACTGTTGCTCATTGGTCAAGTTGGGTTCTTAGATCCTGTTTCTTCCTCTTTCTTTATTTACTCCTCCCTTTTGGTAGAGTACATCCATTCGTAGCTTCCTAAGAAAGAGTGCATGGGAGATAAATGTCCTTCCATGTCTAAAAATGTCTTTTTTGTAGACTTCCCTTTGATTGATGGTTTAGCTGGGTATAGAATTTTCCCTCAGACATTTCAGGAACTTTCCGTCTCCTACCACTCACTGTTGCTGTTCAGAAGTGATGAACTTACGGGTCCTGAGCCACCAGGATACAAGCTGAATGAGACAGAAATGAACAGAAACAGCCTGGACCAATAGTCTAGCTAGAAGGAAGAAAATGAATAGATACAGAAAGAAATACAAAGACAGTGAATCACAGAGGCCAAATTCCAGTTGAACGTTAAGGATGAAAGAATCAAGCAGGGAACTGCTGTGAAGTAGGCAAGAAATGTAGCTCAGAGAAGTCAGCTCAGGCATACCCCACATTTCTTGCAGCCTGGATTCAGAGTTCAGGGTGTCAAAGAAGCAGAAATTTCCAGGTAACAGGACAGCCGATCTGAGCTGTGATCCAAGGAGTGGGCTCTGGGCTCAAGTGCATGCCCTTTGCTGCAAGTGGGTTTATCCTGTGCTGACTGCCCCCAGAGGGAAATCAGAAGCCTTCAGTGACATGACCTCTGACTGAGACAGACAGGCAGAGGTGCTGGGACCCAAGCAGAGGCTCAGAACTTGATCTTGGTTAAGGCATTACAAAAGCACTCTACATCCTCACTCTTTTCTTAAATTCCAGTTGGAGGAAAAAAACCCCACTGGTTTTAGCTGCAAGACTTCC